GAAGAAGGATGTGATTTGACTCTGTCTGATTTGGGGTCTGGGAGGTTGGAGTCTTAGAATACCTCACAGTGGAGGTGATATTTAACTTGAGTCCAGAAAGATGAGTCAGCAATAGTGGAAGCTATGAGGAAGTAGTGAGAAGAGTTATCCAGGGAGATGGATACTTGGACTGCACGTGGGTCAGTGTGGCCTGAGCTATGTATGGATGCTTATGGGAGTGGTGGTAAATGAACCTGGAGAGATCTACAGGAGTTGGATGGAAAAGGGCCTTGGGGTGTGCACCTTTGTATTGTAGGTGCCTGGGAGCCATTGACTGGGCATGGTGAGATCATGCCACAGTTATTTGAGGTTTTTATCTTGCAGGAGTTACTTATAGGCAGAAGCCTCTTCCTGTGTCACCTGACTATTTTCCCCCCTCTAGGTTAGGCAGATGGGTAGATAGACAAATGAAACAATTTAAGAAGTCAGGACTGAGACCAGAGTTTATCTGGAAAATTCTGGACTTCAAGAGGTCTTCCTTTTTAGGAGCACCAAAGGAGAAAGGCTTTCTGTTCATTTGCCCTGCCCCCAAGTCTTGCTAATTTTTTACTACTTTAATCTTTTTTTTGTTTGTTTATTTTTTTTACTTCATTTGCACATGTTGCCTAACAGCAGTTTGAGATGTTGCTATATTCAGAGTTACAATATTTATTTGCATTAATCTCTGGCTGATCTAGGTCTTAATTGTGAAAGTGAACAGGCAGGGATGCCAACTTGTTCAGACCTCTCAGGGCATAGAACATACAAACATTTATGTTTGTATACATAATAACTGTATATCTGGTTCTTTTTTTCTTTTCATTCAAAAGGGACTGACTTATACTATAATCTGTTCTTGGTTGTGATACTTTAGGAACTCACACACAAAATCTTGACTGGGAAATTTATATGGAATTGTGTGTTTTTTAATGGAGGGCGGGCTGGCTTTTTCCAGGTTCTTCAGTTTGTTGGGTAGGAAACTGATTCATTTAAATACCCTGCTGATAATTAAATTTCTTTGATTGTCTCAGAAATGTCTTTTTACAGTTGATTTGTTCAAATCAGGATTCAAGTAAGGTACATATGTTGCATTTGGTTGTTATATATAAGGCCATTCTTTCTTCTTTTTCTTTTTAAAATATATATCTTTATTGATTTCAGAGAGAGGAAGGGAGAGGGAGAAGGAGACAGAAACATCAATGATGAGAGTCATTGATCGGCTGCCTCCTGCACACCCCCAACTGGGGATCAAGCCTGCAACCTGGGCATGTGCCCTGACTGGGAATTGAACCGTGATCTCCTGGATCCTAGGTCGACGCTCAGCCACTGAGCCACGCCCGGCAGGGCTATAAGGCCATTCTTAAATCATGTCTTTTCTTTCATAGCCAGTCATGTTACTCTTTTGCACACAGATTTAATTCCTGACTTTATAGCATAGGCATTAAAAAGTCTTTTGAGGTCTTACCACTTCTACCCATTCCTTGAGTCCTGGAATATCTTTCCTATGTACTTGCGGAACTCCAAGGTTCCGCTCACATGCACTGCCCTCTCTGTGGCATCCCACTCCAGCCTAATGAATTGTTCCTTCATCTGTTTCCATAACACTTAGTACATACCTCATTTATTTGTTTACATGTTTGTACTACAAAGGGGTTAGTATGGAGTGATGGAAATGAGGCTAGAGAGATACCAGATATTTAGCACCTCTAGGGCAAGGTGACATAAAATTCATTTCTGTCACTTCAGCCAGCATAGTGTCTAGATCACAGGAAACACTCAGCGAATATTTGTAGAATTGGATTTTAAAAACCCTAGTTTCTGGAATATTTTTAGTTTAAAACTCCTAGTTGTTTTTAGTTTACTGAGCTATGAATTCCCCTTTCCAACTACAGAGGTGGAAAGCAAAACCTGAAATTGTATCTGAGCGTGTTCTTTGTTGCTTCTGTTCTTGTTCAACACTTAGGAGGTTTGCTTGTTAGTCCCTACTATGGCTTCGCTTGGCTCTGTTTCATTGTTCCTTTCAGTCTAATAATACTCTTTCCCTTGCCATAGCATCTGACAGGTAAGAACCATAGACCTTGGGTCCTTATTTTTGTGGTTTGCAAGGTTAAAAGGGATTTAAGACATTTTTGGCTTATTTCTGGATTTCTAAAATGGATAGTTCCCTTTCATCAGAGTGATCATATAGCTTTTGCTTTGTATTAGACTTTCATTGAAACTTCTTAGAAACAAATAAGATTGAAGTGATTCCAGTGATTGTGTGGCCACTAGAATTGCCACCTTTTGTTTTACATGGAAGGACTAAGCATATTCCATCATGATACCCCCCTTTAACTTCAAAATCTGCAGCTTCTTTGAAAGCTGCCATTTGAATAAACAGACAGATGGGAAGTGATCTTGAATAGTAACATCTAAAAGAGGCTCTTTTTTGGACTAGAATATTTAGTTTTCTTCTCAGTTGGTCTGATGACTTCTGCTTTTCCCTTTCTTTGGGCCTCATTTTTCCCATCTTTAAAATAAAAGTGGAACCAGTCTCTTGCAAGGTTAACTAAGGTTCTGCCATTCACAATTTGGACTCAGATTTTGAATTCTATTAGATGTGCAGTATGCAAATGCTGCAGATGTTGGTTGGATGCAGAATTTTGTTCATCTACTTTTCTCTACATTACAAAGCTAATATTAGCAAATAGAAAATTTGCTGATTTCTTATTTCCTTTTCTCCTCTTCCTACTGATAAATTCCAGGAATCCTTTTAATCTTTTTAAGTGATTTCCCCCCTCTGCAGTTGTTTTTAACAGTGTTGCTGGGAGCCCTAGTTAAGATTTGGAGTTAGTCTTTGTGTGCAAGTGGTGGATGAGATGCCTGTCACGTTCTCTTCCCCCTTCCTCTCAGTAGAGCCTGTAAAGGGCTCTCAAAAAACCTGTGGAACTGAGGTTGCTGAAGAAATAAGACTGTACAAAGGTAAGACTGGCCGCCCTGGCCGGTGTGGCTCAGTTGGCTGCACCCAGGACCAGTGGGTTGATTCCTGGTCAGCGCACATGCCCAAGTTGTGGGTTCGATCCCCGGTCAGGGTGTGTGTGGGAGGCAACCAATCAGTGCTTCTTTCTCACATTGATGTTTCTCTCTCCTTTCCTCTCTCTAAAATCAATTTAAAAAACACATATTGAAAAAAAAAAGATAAGACTTACACATCTTTTTAAAAAATTTTTTCGTCACCAGTTGTCCTCCCTATACCCTCTTCCACCCCACCATCTGCTTAAATTATGTTAAAGATTTCTTCTCAGGCTTATAAGTGCATCAAGGATTATTACAAAGACCCACCCTTAAAAATCAGGAACTCTGGCACCGGGGCCGGGTGGCTCAGTTGGTTGGAGCGTTGTCCCAGTGCACCACAGTTGTGGGTTCGATCCCTGGTCAGGGCACATGCAAGAATCAACCAATGATGCACAGATTAGCAGAACAGCAAAGCTGATTTTCTCCCTTCCTCCCTCTCTCTCTCTCAAAAAAAAAAAGTTAAAAAAAATCAGGGACTCTGCTGTCTTGATACTAGGAGCCGATCTAATAGTTTACCATTTTTTCCTTCAAAGAGTGGTGCCATAAAGCAAAGAGGCTTACTACACCTCTGTTGTGTGCAGGAGCTGAGTTCAGAGAAACCTGTATCCTCCAGAGAAACAGAGCTGCCTTTGAATGAGTTCCCAGTTGATTGCTTTTTGCTGATGGACTTTCCCCTTGTTCAGCCTTTCCCTCCTCATTCTATTCATAGTCACCTTACTAAAATTATAAGAGGTACATTAAGTTCCACAGGGATTGAAAGAAAATATTAATCTCTTGAGTGGGTGGGAGTGGGGGTAGGAAAGCTGGTTGATATGTTGGTGTTTGGAGTGAGGTGTGTGGTGGCAGTGGCAGAACATTTATTTTTAGGCAGATAAATTATAGCCTTTCCTCCTTCTCTAAATCATTGGTCACTTTCTTTTTAGGTTCTACTATGTAAGATGACCCTAATGCTCTCAATTGGTTGGAAAAGCCTTCTAGTAGCAATGGTAGCAATATTTGCCATTCAGTTATATGACTGCCAAGTGACAGATTCCACTCCCACCCCAAGAAGGGTTTCCTTTTTTTCTGGAACACTGCTGTAAAATGTGCCTGGCTTTTAAGTTATTCCCAAGGCTAGAGTGAAAGGGAGATTTCATAGGATGAAACACTTTGTACATTTAAAATGCATTTATCCCTGGGAATCAGTCTCTCTTTGGATCATCCCACCTACCCAGTGAAACTTGCCCTCTTACTGGGTTCTGGTATCTGAATGGGTAGCTGGATGTTTGGCATCATGTGTTATTAGCATATGACTCAGATTTGCCAGCCTCTGCAGCACTGTGGCAGGGTTTGAACGGTGTACGTGTGCACTGGGCATGACGCACTCTACCACGTATTGTTAGTGTGGTTCACAAAGCAGAGAGACATAGCATAACGATTGCTTAAGATCTTAAGAGTTTTAAAGGAATGAAGCAGGAAGCTTACTTAAAGATTTAAGAATCTGGCTGGAGGCAGGGGGTGGAATTTCTAACCTTTGCTTTCTGAAAGGGTTCTGCAGACCTAGTTTCCTTTCTCCACATTCTTTCAGACTAGTGTGTATAACCAGAGCATGGAAATTGAGGACCAGAGTTAAAGTGGACCTTGCAAATAACTCAGAGCTTTGTGTTGTAATTTTCTCAGAAAAATTTGCCTTGTCATTGTTTATTATAATGACAAAAGGCAGGGAATCCCACTTCCCCATCCCCCCTCCCCCAAACAGGCATAGCATGGAGCTTTTGTTTGTCTTTTCCTTGTGCCAAAGGTTTCAACTCTAAATTTTCTAGTCCAGAGTATAGAATAATTCTTGAAAGAAAGAAGGGGAGGGGAAAAAATCCCTCATATTAGAACTTTTAAAATTTAAATGAAAACCAGGTCCTTCTAAAATAAAATGTTCCCTTTTAATTTTAGAATCTCAGTTTAAAGAACATCAGAAGAATATTTCCCATTAAATATTTCCATTATAGTTTTCAGAGAGCCATGCTAGGCAGTATTGTTAACTAAAGAAAATAAGTCTATCAGTTCTACTTAGATAACCTTTGGTAATAAACGAACTCCATACACGTTGTGACCTTAGCGCCTGAACTTTCTAATCACATGACCGGCTTGTAAACTGACCTGTGAGGATGACTGTCGTAGTCCCTGCTAAGAGAGAGAAATTGGCCAAGTGTCGGAAGGGTGGTCATCAAGCTGGACTTGTCCTGTAATCTGTTTCTTCATGGCTGCAATAAGTCTTCTCAACAAACTCCAAGAAGCATGAAATGGAGACATGGGAAGGTAAGGGAACTGACTCCTTGAGACTGGGACCAAATCTAAGGTTTAGAAATTCTTTGAAGGTTTAAAGCAAATAGTAGCTTTGAGGGAGGAGGGAGGCAGTCCACTCCTCTTTTGTGTTTTGGCAGAATTCAGCCAACAAGTTTTCATGTACATAGCAACTGGCTATAAATGTTTGGAATAGAGAAAATCGAGGGAAACTGTAGTGAACTGGTGGTTGTGGTTGATGTTTTTAAGAGAAAAAGCAGGAAAAAAGGGAAAAACAATTTAAATTTTATAGTGCCTTGAAAAAATCTTAAACTTCATTTTACGTCACATTCCTTAAGTTTACATTTTAAAAAATTGCCCCGTTTACCTCTTGACAGAATTTGTTTATATTTTAAATTCCTTAATCCAGTTCATCCTTTCTGCCAAAGCCTTTATTTAGTGCTGTTAATTATAGATAGTATTGAGATCATGAGGCTGTTGATAAGGCAACCTCATTTTCTTTGGGTAACTTAGATACTTTGCAATTTGGGCATAAGACTAAGCCATTGCTAATTTCTTTTAAAGTGGGTTGTTTTTAAAAGTAAATATTCTTGCTTTCTCTCATTAATAGCCCCTAGTTAGTGTTGCAGTTCATATATTTGGAGATAGGCTCCTACTTGTGTGCGAGTGCCCTACACCTTTATATTTGGGCCAGGAAAGACATATATAGCTAAAGAAACAGCTAAGGTGAATCTTAGTATTAAAGATACGCTGTATTTGTTTGCTGTGTTTATAAAGTATGGAGCCTAAGAGTTTGCCAAGAGTTTGGTTTCTTATAGACAAGTACTGCTGAGCTATAGCCAGAAGAGTGTCAGACTCCTTGAGGTAGTTGGTAAATTTCTAGAGCATTAACCTATGAAACAGCTCATCCCGAGAAAGCTTCCCAGCCCCTTGCAGCATGGCTAACATCTGCTGTAGGCAGGCAGCTTTGCAGTTTCATTCTCACTCCGAGGATGTACAAACTAGGGAAGTGGGGTAGGACCCCCCCTTTTATAACATTCTTATTTATAGTAACACTTTATATATATATCAGAATTACTTCATTGGTTTTTACTGTAAATTATAAAAACAAAGTTTGTAGAAAGTATCAATTACGTGCAAGACCTGTTATTTTTTAATCTTGAACAGCTTCTCCTCTTCTCCCATTTCACACAGAAATTCTTTGTTAAACATTCTGAATATACTAGCTTGTCCAGAAAGGAGTAGTTTAAGAAGTAAGATTTGCTCTGGATCTATTGGAATAGGAGTTTAAGTGTAGCCAGAGATACCAGAGCAGTGGTGACATGAGTTTGGAAGGACAGCTCTGGAGAATTTGACTTTTTCTTTCCTTTAGCCAAATTGAATCTCTTAGTGATATATAGCCCACAAGTTCTGAAAGAGAAAAAAGGTTTGAACAGAAAGTTCTCCCTCAGTGCTTATTTAATTATTGAAACTTTTCTTTTTCTTAGCTGTTCAATGTCAGAAAATAATGTATGGTACTAAAACAAGAACTTCTATAAAACAAGGAAATGAATTTTAAAATTTTCACCTGAATCTTTCACACAAAATTTCGAATAAAGCAAAATGAATTATTCCAGCTGAAGGAGGTCTCTGGAAGCTTAAAAAGCAAAATCAAACTACTTACAAAAGAGACCAGTGAAAATGCTACTGTAAAAAAGCATTGCCTGGTTTTAGATATTGGGCCCTTGTCCATTTAAATTAACCTTTGTCACAGCTGGGCATACAAATGTTTTGTTTTAGTTCACAGAGGGTTAACTCTATTCAAGCTTTCACTGTGGCAGGCCTGATCTGTGGAGTCATACAATCTGGTCTTTCAGCCCTGCCAGTCGCTAGGCAGGAAGTCTTATTTCTTAAGCTATCTTTCAGAATGGGGGTTGGGATTTGGAGAAAGGTGGGGGAAGGGCCTTGGAGCATCTGTAAGGATCAATAACAGAGAGCAAGCCGCAAGAGAGGCCATTGTGCACACTTCAAGATAGATGCAGCCCGTGTGCACAGCTCCTGCCTGGCAGAGCAGACACCTAAAACCGAAACAATGCCACCAAATGAATTCCTTGTGAAAATCAGATTGCTCTAAGGGGAGAAACAATACTTAAGAATGCCCTTTTAATGTTAAGAATATTCTCATTCCTCAGCTTGCTAGGATCAGGCATTTCACACTAGAAATAACTCCAAATTGATTTTTAAATACCTTTTGTCTTCATGCTAATATTGTATTGAACTGAAGAGGGTGATCATTTTGGTCTTAGTCCATGCATCAAAGCATTGAGTAATCTTTTTCCTTCCTTTCTTTCCTTCTTTCTTTTCTTCTTTCTCTCTCTTTCTTTTTTTCCCCTTCCCTTCTTTCTTTTTTATTCTAACGTTTGCTTTACTCTATTGGTGTTGGAGGCATCATTAAGGGAATGAAAAAAAACAAAACTTGTTTAGGATTTGAGTAACACATGTTTGAAATCCCTCCCCCAACAGCTGGTATTGGTTCTTGGTAGTTCAGCTGAGCTAAACAGATGCTCTTGGTGTGTTATTTTGAGAGCCTTTAAACCAGACTTATAGCCAAGAAATATACAGAAATCATAGGTCTTATTTTTAAATGGATTTAAGTTGTGATATCATGCCACATTTAATGCATATTATATTTGTGTTAAACAGAGATACCTGAGCTTGGGAAAGTGAGCAGTTCCACCAATGAAATTATGATTTGAAAAGCACTAACATGTTTGTTGTTCTTTTACTCCAGCCCAGATTTTCATTTTTCCAAATCCTCTTTCCCAAGCCCAACTGTAACATTCCTGTTTTACTGTACCCTTTTTCAGCAGACTAAGGCAGTAATTCAGTAGGTACTTTTATGATGCAAATTCTTTATGACAGTTGGAAAGAGTAATGGAGTCATTGCTGCCTCTCTCCCACTAAACCCCCAAAGTATTGGTGACAACTGATGGTAACAGCTGTGGGAAATGGAATTATAAAGAGCCTCTAAAATCCTTCTCCCAATTTGAAATCCTCCAGGAATAAATGCAAAAACAAACTCGGGTGGGGTGGGGGTGGGGGGGTGGATAATGTGACTTACAAAAATACAAATGGAATAAAGGGGGAGGAAGACCTGCATTTGAAATGAGCCCTAAGTTTAATTCATTTTATGCTTCTTGAATGGAGACCTGACATATTCTTTTAGACAATTTTGAGGCTCAAGAGAATACTTAGACACTTCACAAGATCATGTGGATATTTTTAACCCATCTCTAACCTATACCCTTTTGCTAGGGAAAAACGGTGTATAAGAGGAAAGTCTAAATCACAAACAACACCTCCTTAATACCATTGTTTTGCCTCTCAGACATATTATAATTCTGCATTAATATTTAAACCGAGGGAGCAGTTCTTTTAATGGGCATTTTCCAGAGAGATACAAATATTACTAACAAAACTTGTAAGTTCAGTTACCATTTACATTGTATTAAAATGGGGTTTGAAACCTACCATGACCCTTTTGAACAATGTGGTCTTTAATGGGCTTTAGGGGGAGGGCCTAGTGAAGGAAAAGCCATAAAAGTCTTCAGGGTTCAAGATGAGGTTGGGATTTTTAGCCCATTGCTTTTGTCATTTTCACACACAAACATCACTGCAATCATGTTTGATTTAGCATCCTTAATACAATGAGGTGGGAGAACAAAAGGATATCAGAGGCCCAAGTAAGGAAGCCAAACATTCTCCCTTCCCCCAAATTTTTTCAGATCATTCTCTTCTCTCTTCTCTGCTACTGGGTTTTCTTTTTAAGCCAAGGAAATCAGTTCATTTGTAAGCATCTTCTTTTTACATGCTTCAGTGGATTGCTTAGGAAATTGAAAACTAGCCACTCTTCAAATATTTTTTAGACATAAAAATCATGTCCCAAAGACTTAGTAAAAATACCATAATTAGGAAAAATGCATCTACTCTTACATATTTTAAAGTTGAGAGTTTGGGGGCGTTCCCAATGCACAGCTGTTTTACATATTTTGAAAAGCCTGATAGATGTAAAGGTCATTGCTAACTCTAACAGGGTCTTGCTGCTCACACTGTGATCCAAGGACCTTGCATTAATTAGGATGAGAAGCATGGAAGGTCAGGAGTCGACTGGCTGGTGGGCCTTGGTAGATTGTCATTGGGGCCAGTCAGAATTCCTATAGGATTTTTAGCCATTCAAACTAAACCAAACCAAAAATAAACCCTGCTGCTGCGTCCATGGCCTCTGAGCAGATCTCTTGGGCTGTTTGGTAAGGACTTGTCCCCTGCAGCCCAGATGGCTCATAAAAACTTGGCTATAGGATTCCCAGTGTTGGGGAAAGAATCTGAGCAGCCTGACTCTGTCACTTGGCCAAGTCACTTAACCTCTGTGAGCCTCAATTTCCTCATGTGTACGACGGGATATTAATACCAATCTCTCAGGGTTACTATAGGAATTAAATAAGAGAACCTCTGTCATAGTGCCCAACACATGCTTACATGCCTTGAAATTGAAATGAGTTTTAGAGTAGCAAGTTAGGGAGATTAGGAAGGAAAGGATTCTTGGGTGATCTTGTGGCTGTTGCTGTTTATATACCGAGTAGAAACTTCCCTAGGGAACGATGCCTCTATTCAGTGGGCCCTTTGGAAATTTATCCTGAAAATGCTGCCCGACTAGTGAGGCGAGCTGTTTGAGCAGTGCTATTCCTGGCTGATGAAAATAACTAGTGGGTCCCTGCCAAATTTGTGGCTTTTTTCCTAAGAGGGTTTTTTTATAATTGTGTTGATTGGGTGAGGGAGGAGAGGGGATGGGCTCTAAGTGAACACACAGGTTAAATCATAATCAGGAGAAGGATAGTCATGTTATTCATATCTCCTTCCATGTGTTTCGGTAGATAAATATAGATGCCAAGACAATTGCCATGGCCATGCTTAAAAGCCCCTTCTCAGAAGCTTTACTGTGAAATTGTAAAGGCGGGAAAACTGTTAGCAGGGTAATC